CTTCTGGAGCAAATGTCTCCCTGTTGCTCCTCACGAACACCCCCATCCTGCCACGCTGCAGTGTCACCAGTGTTGGGGACAGCCAGGCAGGGGGGATCAGTGTGCTGCCTGTATCTGGCCCAAGACCTGGTTCTCCTGCACTGCTGCGGTTGCAGAGCCAGATTGCTCCGTGTGCAGGAGAGGAAATATGTGCAAGGGGAGTGCAGCCTGGACCTGAGTGTGGTGTCCTGGTACCCCAAGAGCAAGCGCCCCCCCCCCCCAAATGCAGCTCCCGGAAGCCCTGCTGCAGAGAGAGGGGGAGCACTAAGCAGCAGCAGAACATCCCAGAGCCCCACTGGACCAGGCCTTAAGGGGAGGGAGGGCTGGGAGTTCTCTGCACAGCTCTGGGACCTGCACCAAGGACAGGGTGAGGAACCACCAGCATCACCAGTGGTGACAGGAGAGCATGAGCTGCAAAGTCCACAATGCTGGAAGGTGGGATTGGCTCAGGGAGAGGCTGTGGGGCTTGTGGCCAGGCTCAGCTAGCATGGGCCAACGTGCCACAGCTGCAGCAACCCCAGCACTGTCTGGTGTGGGAGTGGGAGCAGCTTCTGACCAGGGAAGGGCAGTCCAGGGTGGGTCTTGTGTTTTATTCATCCTTGCATTTTTTTAACGCCTACTGCAGGTCAGTGAGATGCTAGTTTGTGCTAGTGTCGAAATCTGGTGCTGCTCTGACCCCAAGTTGCCCTCAGCATCTGGGAAGGCCCTTCTGACACCCTAAATCCCCATTCCTGGACCCAGGGTCCCCATCTCCAAAGCCCAGCACCCATTTTGGTAGGCAACACCATCATGCTTTGTTGTGCAACACTGTGCTGGCACTGCTGTCTTCTTACAGGTTGCCACTGACCCTGGAGATGTTCACGTGCTTGGCTCTTACTTGCTCCTCCTCCTTCCCCTTGCGGGATCCAAGCTCTTGGGGCAGGCAGGCAGTGCTTCCCACCCTGCTGATGCTGGCTGGGATACAGCTCAGGGCTCTGCAGAGGCTCAGGCTGGTGGAGGTGGGAGTGCCTGGACCCTGCGTTGCTGCTCTCTGGGCTGGACAGCATAGTCCTCACCTGACATGGGGCCGCAGAGCCTCAATCAGGGTACCTTCCCCAGGCGCAGATCAGCCCCTCTTTCCTTCCTGGCCAGAGGTTTTTTTGCTGGCATCTCTCAGGCAGCAGCAAATTTGGGAAAAATCTGTATCGTTTCTACTGGAAAAGGTGGAAAATGAAGGCAGCCCGGTTGCTATGGTTGCCACAGGCTGTCTTTGATGCAACATCATATCAAGCAGCCCTGCAAGCAGATGTGCTACAGCTGGAAAGCAAAGTGATTCCCCCAGGTGTGAACATGGCATGGCAGGCCACACACACTGTCCCTCTGCTCCCGTAGCTTCCCCTGGGATGCCGGCTGTGGTCTTGGCTGCATGTCCCCATCCTTGTCCCTATTCAGGACCCTCCCTGGCAGCAAAAAAACCATCAGTGAGAGCAGTGCTTGGGAGGGGGAAGCATGGCACTTACACTAAGCAATGCATGCAGGTGCTTAAAAATAACGCAATCAGAATATTTGTCATTCAAATAGTGTGTGTGTCTATATATACATGAAATGCTTAATATCCTGTTCAAATGTGGTTTGAACAACAGGGATGCTGAATATTGGCTAAGCATTACAAGCATTTCTAAATCTTTTATCCTTAAGAAATTATGGGATCATCAATCTGTGGGGTTTTGTCAATATGGTTTGGTCCAGAATGAAGGTTCACTGGGTCCTGCTGCACCTTTGGAGGCTGAGGGCTCAGGCTCTGCCTCCTGCCACACTCCAGGCCTCGCTGCTCTTTGCTTTGTAGCTCTTTGCTATACGGCTTTTAGCATCTTAACCCAAAATGCACCTCACAGCCTCATCAGAGGTCTGGAGCAAAGCCAACGCTGCCACTGAGAGGCAGAGGAGAAGCAGCAGACAGTGTGCAGGGCCCAGGGCCTGACCCAGAAAGGTCTTCAGGTGTGAAGACCTGATGCTGCTTCCCGGTGCTCACTTGGGCTCTGCCCTTTGCATTCAGGACACTTCTTCAGGGATATGTCCCCCTGAGGTGCTTCTGCCCTTGTCCACACCAAGCATGCTGGGGTCGACCCCAGCGCAGCCCCTTTGAGGTGGTGGCCCAGGAGGTGGTAGCTGGGATCTGCAGGGTCCGTGTCCCTATGCCAGGAGCCACCAGGTGTGGTGCAGCAGGGCTATGTCCCCTCTGGCCACCTCTCCTGTGTCCCTTCTCGCAGGCCCTGGTGGCCCCGGCAGGGCAGGGGGGACTCCTGCCTTGCCCAAGCCCTGTCTCCAGCGGCGCAGAGGCCGATGAGCAGACCTTTCCCTCTCGCTGCTCAGGGATGCGCTGAATCCTGGCTCCGGCTGGCTGCCGGCCAGACCTCCCAAGGGCCCAGGGGGCTGGTTAAGCTCATTGCTTTTCTTTCAGAGGCTTCAGAAAGCCGCCCGCCCGCATTTAATTCAAATTTATTGAATAATTCTCCTGGGAGCAACTAGTTCAAGACCAACCACTACAACAGACCATCAATGAGATCAGTTGGCATGGCCCCGGCCATGGAGGGCTCTGTGTCCCCCAGCGCATCTCGGTGGCCTTGCCAAGGGGCGCCTGGCCCAGGGCAACACTGGCTCATCTCTAAACCTGACTGCCTGTGTTGCCTCCAGCCCCGGGGGATATTGTGAGGTCTGTTAACATCCCTCCCACTTCCACCCCAAACCTGTTTCTGCCTTTGAGCAGTTGTCCCCCAGGCAGCAGTCCCAGAACAGGGCTGGCTCAGTCCTCGCCTGTCTCCAAAGCCTGTTGCCAGTGAGCTGTACTGCAAAAGTGCTGAGATACAACACGCCTAGCATGGGATGCACATGCACTGCTGAATGCCCACCCTACTGTGATGAGATTCATGTCCACCATGGGGTGTAGCAACCTGAAGGCACCTGGACAGGAGTGGGGACAAGCCAGAGCCAGGCTGGGAGCACAGGGATGAGTCCCCAGGCACTGGGTGAGAGACCAGCCAGAACCCGGGAAGTGGGCTTCCCTGAAGGCCGCTGCTCTCCAGGAAAGACATTTTACTCAGTGCCCAGCCCTGAGCAGTTTTGGGGGCACATCATGTGCCTTATGGCATCCTGGGGGCTGTCCCCAAGGGCAAGGCTGGGGACATGCTGCCTTCATCTTTTATTCCCCTGCTGCTTCGTGGCTCCATGAGGGCAGCCCCCAGCGTGCCTTGTCTTACGCAATTAACCACTGCTCGGAGGAAAAATAATGATCTTCATTAATAAGCGCAGCACTCATCGGTCAGGGCCTGACGTCCCGTGCAGGGGCATGTGCAGTCATGCAGCAGGACTGAATCATAATTTGCTAATGATGCTGCGAGGCCCGTGAGGAGACCAGCCTTCCCGTTAGCTCTGGGCACGTGTTGCTCCGCAGCACGTAAGGAAAGGCAGCTCAGTGCCGCCCTCTGTCCATCCCTCGTGCCTGGGCTGTGGGACGGCACCGGTGACAGCTCAGCCTGCTTCCCCACAAGGCGTGGGATCAGGCGATATGCCAGAGCCTGGAAAATGGAGCATCCATGGCTGCGATTCAGCCTAGGAGGGGCAGGAGTGCCCGGGGGGGCTTTGCCTCCAGTGCAGTGGCTGTGCTGCAATGTGGGGCCAGGGCACCAAGCCCCCCTCACCCTTTTGGGGTCCCTTATTCTACCCATCAGTTGTTGACCGACTGGAACCACCACCTAGGGATTTGCAAAGCTGCAGGAGAGGCTTAACAAGCCGTGGCCAGAGGCATCCATCCGATTTATAGTGCTTGCTCAGGCCATGAGCAGCATGGAGCTGCAATAAAAGCCTGGGTTTGTTGTACAATCCTGATTTTCCTGTGTCGGGTGCACGGCTGGTTTAGGGCAGAGCCTAAACCAGAGGGTGCCCAGTGCCTGGGGAGGCTCCCCCAGGGAGGGCAGGGGCTGTGTGTTGAGCAGAGGGGTGTCAAGCAATGCCCTAATGAACCCCAGGTGTGTTTATCTCCGGCAAAAGCCGACTGAGACGTGCGGTGGGCTCTGCACCTCGGCCAGGCTCAGGTTTTTGCCCCTGGGGAAAAGCAACCGTTGCCTTGGGGGTGCGTTGCCCACCACGTAAAGCCGGATCTGAGCAGCGCGGGGGTACGGGGGCCCTGCACGGGCGGGGGAGCTCGGCTGCCCGCCGCGAGGCCGCAGCCAGCCGTGCTGCCGAGGGGGCAGGCACGGAGGAGCATTTTTCAAATGCAGCTTTCGGATGCTGGCAGCGGGTTTGGGGCCCGGCTGTTAACGTATGAGGGACGCGGGCGGGTGGGAGCAGACTCACCCAGGCACTGGTGGCTGACGGCTCCCCCCCACCAGAGGCACCGTGTGGGGCTGTGCGTGCCCCGGCAGCTGGAGCCGGTACTGGGCAGCATGGCGGGGTGCTCCAGGGGACCCCCACCCATGGGGGTGCCTTGGGATCCTCACCAAGAGGGGCCCCAGGGACCTCCCACCCACCCATGGGGTACATGGGGGACCCTGCCTCCGAGGACGCCCTGCACTTACAGTGGTGTCCTGGGGGACCCCCGCCCGCGGGGAGGGGGGGCAGGGACCCTTAACCCACAGCAGACCCTCACTGCCGAGGCTGCCCCCGGGGGACCTGCACTGCCGAGGACACCCTGGGCACCCCCTTCCCCCAACCTGCCTTGGGGGACCCTTCCCCTCCAGGGGTGCCCAGCGCCCTGCACGGCTGGGGACACACGAGGGGACCCCTGTCCCCAGGGACGCCGCAGAGACCCGCACCCCCAGGGGCGCGCTGGGGCGAACCTGCGCTCCCCAGGCGACTCGCCCCGGCCCCGCGCTGCGGAAGATGCCCGGGGGTCCCCTTACCCACGGGGGTGCCCCCCCGGTCAGGGCT